GTTACATTTCGTTACAGAAATATTTTCAGATATATACAGTAAATATTCTTTGAATTTCTGCCTCAAACCAATTGGGATTTTTTAAAAACTGACTTTACGAAAATTTAACATGCGTTTTAATTGTTATTTGTACATGTTCTAGGTATGTTGCGATCTTTTCCCTTGTTGTTTTATCGTCTACGGGAAGTATCTTCCCCCTTTGCCCCTAGTTTTATTTCTTTAATTACCCCCTTCCCCGGTCTTCCTGTCCTCTTCCGCTGTGCCCTTTGACTTTGTGGGCCTATTATTCAATTATTTACTTGTTTACTATGAATTCCTTATCAGTAACAAATTATTTCCTATTATTCAATTATTTATTTGTTTTCTTTGAATTCCTTTTCAGTTACAAATTATTTATCATTTTAGTGATTAAATGTTCGGGCTCTGCCTTATTAATATTTATGTTTCATTAGTACAATTTGTTCAAAATCAATGGCGAACGGCCGTATAAAAAGAACCAAAAAAGAGAAAATCAAAAATGAAATCTATAATTTGATATTCGTAGCTGCTAATTGATTCTGTAGGAATGATTTTAGGATGTTACCTTGATCGAATATGTGTTATATGTTTTGATAATGAATCAAAGGTTATGTCAGAAGGGATTGAGCACATATGAGCAAATTAATTACATTGATTGTGTATATCAACTGGAGAATTATTCTATAAGTTTTTCAGTCTTTAATTCGTGTAATCAAAGTTTTTTAGGAGGAGTGGTTTTTATTTTTTTTTTAGATTTTATCCTATGGGGATTCTATTAAGGATGAGACACTGAAACCTAGAGAACAAATCAAAATGTCAGCATTTCTACAGAGCCACAGAATGACATACTCGTACACAATGTAACAATTGATATTAACAATTTTTTTTTGGAATTTTTTCTTCTTTTTTCAGAATGTGTAATACGAATGTGAATAATAAATGCTTTACAATGCTTATAAACCTTGTAAAAATCCAAACAATGATAAGAAATGTCCAATATATGACAATAATATTTCCAGAAGAAACATAATCATTGAAAACTAAACATTTATTTCATCCCCCACCCCCTCAACCATTTATATGCAAAAAATAGTCTTGTTTGCAACTTGGTGTTTATAGCACAATGGTAGGGAGTTGACCATATTGAAATCTTATTGATATTTATCTTGTAGTTATAAGTTATATATACTTCTAAGAATGTAACATTCATTCATTTTATATTCCTTTCAAATGATGTAGAATTCCATTAATTTTGGCCCTGTGAATCAGATCTTTGCAGCGAACCATTGCCCACATCTATAATTTACTTTTGTTTATTTGACTGTAAACAAAATTTATGACTATAGAATTGTGTTTCTAACGTCTTATTTTATAGAATTTGCATATGTCTGCAAACAATGACATATATTTTTATCATACGTTATCTCATGTATAGATATTAAACTTAAATAAATATATAACGAGAACAATGTACGCCATTTCCTGTCCAAATTTTATTATTTTCGTCGATGTTGACTTTAGATTATGAGTTGAATAACATGTTTAATATGCACAACTGAAATATTTCGAAAGAAAATTGAAAAAGCAGAGATGAGAAAGAAACTGTTTAAGCCAATACATGTTATTGTTTTTTTAACATTTACATAATTCACGTTTAAGATATATTGTTAAGTGACCTAAATGATCGCACGATACTACATTTTAGCCATGAATACTAAAATTTTTGTTACACTAAAAGATTTAAGCTATTGTATTTGTATTTGTTTTCGTGATACAGATCATGTTAAAGTTTATTTTCTTTGATTATATCTCATTTTAAGCTGTGATAAAATTAAAGAAAAATAACAAAATAAATGTTAACACTTTCGTAGCATATTTGCTATACTTTTTGACAAAAACATCAATTCCTGCCATACAGACAAACTTGGAAATAATAAGTGAATCAAATAAAGGAATGCAGCGTAATTTATACAGCAAATAATTTTATGTTTCATTATTTATGCTCAAATAGAATTTTCTATTATTTATACATAACTCACTTCACGGATATTGATTGTCAATTAATATTCGTGCTTACGTCATTTATGTGAAAACAGAAAAAAAATTATTTTAATTTGAAAGAACTCGAATCCCAACGCGAATGAATATTAAATGGCAACAGCGCCCAAGTTTAAGTTAAGTTTGAAATGAAGGGCAGAGAATTGTGAACAAGGTATGACTTAAATAAGCGACGGATATTTTTTGGCGCAATGGGCACAACTGACATATTTTTTAGCAAAACAGGCACAACGTATTATAGGTTGTAGGTTTGTAGGATTCTATATTGGTAAAATGGCCGCGAAATGGCCACATTCTTGGCGCAACGGAGATTGTTTTCTATAAAGGGAACGATGTATGGTTATAACAATTAACAAACTAAAATCAGTTATATATTAAATGAAGTATCAACATAACTTTGTTGTAAATTCAATACGTTTTTTAATGTTTTTGTAATGTTACATGCCTGCGAAATTGACATTTTCTCAGCACAATGGAGATATTTTTGTATAAAGGGCACATTGAATGTGTATACAAAATTATTCTACATTTTAAATATAGTATCATACTGAAAGTCATTTTCAAAATTCAATAGGAATATCTTTAATTTCAATGTTTTGAAGGATTAACATTATATGTCGGCAAAATGGACATATTCTCGGCGCAATGGTGATATTTTTGGCGCATATTACACCCGTAAGCCATTATTGCCTTTCAGGTCTTTGATTTAATGAAAGATATCTATATTATTAATGTTTTACATATCAATGTCTGTGTTCTGTGTGTTTTGGACAAACAAAAAATAGTTGATATTTGTTTTCGACAATATGCATGTAGCAATTGTTGATTTTATAATATTTATCTGAAGCTTTATAATATTTTTTCATTGATAATCTACCAAATTCTCCATATAAGCATTGTAATTCATATATTGTTTAACCTTTTCCCTCATATAGACGTGTTTTGACGGCTTTTTGGCCCCACCTTTTTTTGGGGCCTCAGACAGTGACAAAATGTCCTATTTAGGCCCCAACCACTGTTTTTCGTTTGAGAAATGTTGTTTAAAAAAAAAGATATCACTTTTTCGGCGCCGCCCCCACCCCCATCAAAATGGTACATAAGGGAGTTGCGATAAGGGGGATGTGCCCACTTCTGTTTAGTGGGTTTGAAGGGGCGGAAGCCAATAAAATTTTGGACATGTGACAGGCTAAAATGGCCTCAGGTCGATCTTAGGGTAACAAGTAAACGAAGCTAAAAAGCTTTTAATTTTATCTCAATTCATTGTGAAGTTCCAGCACTTTGAAATCAGTTTTGACGGGAAAAAATGCAAAATAGTGATTTTTTGCAATTTTGAAACATTCCCCCTTTGCCATGATAACAGAAAATTTACAATTGAGCATGCTGTTACAGAGGCTATGGTCCAGTCAACATGTGTGCCAAGTTTCATCAGTATTGAAGTATTTTTCATAGTTTCATAGCAGTTTCAACTTGTAACAGGAGGCTTTTCAATGAAAACGACCATTTTTCACAATATGGTCATGAGGTAAAAGGTTAATTAAAAGAATAAAAAATGTCACAAAACAACAATTGTTCACCAAAATTTGGTGAAAGGGCACGTGTTTACATGGAAAAACTAGTGTTTGGGCAATTTCTAGGTTTTTCATCAGTTTTTGTTAACCTTTTACCTCATATAAACGTGTTTTGACGGCTTATGTCCCCCCCCCCCCTTTAGGCCTCAGACATTGAAAAAAATGCCCTATTTAGGACCCAAACACAATTTTTCGTTTGAGAAATGTTTTTTAAAAAAAAGTGATCACTTTTTCGGCGCCGCCCCCCCCCCATCAAAATGGTACATCAAGGGGTTGTCAGAATGGGGATGGCCCCCTTCTGTTTGGGGGTTGGAAGGGGGCGGTAGCCAATAAAATTTTGGACATGTGACATGCTAAAAATGGCTTCAGGTCGATCTAACAAGTAACCGAAGCTGAAAGCCTCTTACTCTGTATCAATTTATTGAGAAGTTCCAGCACTTTGAAATCAGTTTTGATGGAAAAAACAATGCAAAATAGTGATTCTTTGCAAATTTGAGAAGTCCCTCCATTGCCATGGTAACAGAAAATTTACGATTGAGCATGCTGTTACAGAGGCTATGGTCAAGTCAACATGTGTGCCAAGTTTCATCAGTATTGAAGTATTTTTCATAATTTCATAGCAGTTTGAACTTGTAACAAGAGGCTCTTCAAAATTTTCTCAATAGTTTGAGAAATGTATTTCAAAACAATGACTTTTATAATGGTGATTGATTAATAATTGAAAACAAAAAAATATTTCGGATAAAATATAAAGCCATCTTAATTATAAAAAGACTGCCCAACTCTTTATAAAAGATAAACTCTACCGATACATTCTAAAGTCTATTGACAGAAATTTCCGTGTTATATTTTTTCATTGTTAAAAACATGAAATGTAAAATTCAACACAATTTTGACAAAATGTAATGTATATGTGCACACATGTAGGCTACGTGATCCACATATTGTTTTACGTTCTTCTTAAAATGGTGTATTGAAATATTGTCCCGTCAATAAATTAACGCAGAAGTACTTATAAGTCAAGATCATACGCAAATAGAAGTTGGAGGAGCAACTATTTCATGGATTTTTGTACAATATGGGGACAATAAATTCAAATTATCTCATGAAATCACAAACAAGTTGAAAAGTATCCTTTTTTAAAAATATTCTTATTTACAGGAATTAACTGTTATAAATAAGAAAGTTATCAAAAATATAATCTTGAAATAGCAAAACAGATACAAAAAAGTTTAAATTTGAATCTGACCTCAGTAATGTGATGTAACAGAAACTTGGGCTGTGTGTTATGTATATATCTACTTCTATAATCCTTGGATATAGACTCTAAGTCTGGATTTCTTTTACATTTTACAGTTAACCACTGTGTTTGCTATGTGTGTGTTCTTGTCATTGAATATGATAAACAAGATCAACAACGAAAGGCGGCGTTCAACGAACTTGCTGAAAAAACCCTCGCATGCAAATGAGGTAAGCTTTTTTCGGTTGTGTTTTACGTCGAATCACAGTATACGTTCGGAATAATGTTAGGGCCATCGTTGTTTTACTTTATAATCCAGAGGGTGACAATGCGACAGTGCGATGCCGACAATACGACAATGCGTTAGTTGATGTCGACAGTGCAATAATTCGATGGCGACAAAACAATAGTGCGACAATACTATCGTGTTGTCGCCATCTCGGTATCGTATCTTTTATCATAGTGTAGTCGCACTGTTGTCATCGCGTTATCGCACTGTCGCATTGTCGTCATCGCATTGTCGCACTGTCGTCATTGCGTTATCGCATTGCCGACTATCGTCTTACGGTACATATGCGCACATCCTATATCTGATCAGGCGGTTCTAAACTGCTGACGAATAAGCTGACCGTACAGAACCGTACAGAACATAGGAAAATAATTTCACATTTGTCGATGAATTTTTCTTCTTGTTTTATATTTTCCTTTTCTTTGTTTTGTTATTATTTTTATTTTTGGTACACTGAAAAAGTCTAAATAAAAGCACAAATTAATAAAAAATAACATTTTATATCAAAAGATAGGGGAAGTAATGTATAAAATACACGGAAAATTTAATAAATTGTGTGAAGCTTTAACAAAAGTCAAAAGATTTCAGATGAAAAGCATGTTATGTTGACATTCAAAAGATGCAAAAAAAATAAATTGGTCAGTAGTGCATAGAGGAAATTTGTGTTGATGTTATTTTTTGTTGTTCAAAATATGGAAAATATGTTTCACTGCAGTAAAGTACAATATTTTTTACAAAGTGAAAATACGGAAAATGAAAATACGCATTTTATTTAAAAAAAAACAACAGTTTTCTCTATAAATCCAAATATAGTTCATTAAGAAATCCAACTGGTCAGCATTGTTTATCATGTATAAAAACTGCTAAAATCACTTAAGTATTTTTATAAGATTTTTAATTGGTCATCAGTGGTTAAATTTGTTTTGTATTATGTAGATTTTTTAATATTTTCTAACATTGTGAAAAATAATAATTTTCATCCAAACAAATTTTCTCTCTATATCTGAAAAACTGGTCAGCAATTTTCACTATAGGTTAAACTGATCAGCAGATTTTTCTCTATGTATTACTGGTCAGCAGATGCTACTATAAGTTAAACTGTTTTGTTTTTTTTTCAAATGACGTACAGTACGTTAAATCTGCTGACCATAAGAAGAAATTACGCTAAAAACCACCTCAGCAGTTTTTTTATACTTTAGTTTCTCAGCAGTTGTTTGATTTGTTTGCGAGATGTATATTACAATATACATAAGAAATTCACGGCCAAAAAACATATTTCTCTAGATTATTAATTGGTCAGCAGTTTTCACGGTCAACAAAGTCTTCTATATGAATAGCCTTTTACCTCATACAGACTTGTTTTCACGCTATTTACCCCCCCCCCCCCATCATTTTTTAGGCCTCAATTAGTGAAAAAATACCTGATTTGAAACCCAAACACTTGTATACGTTTGATAACTGTTGATCACTTTTTTCGGCGCCATCCCTATCGAAAAGATACATCGGGGTGCCAGAGGTGGATTTCCCCTCTTCTGCACGCCAAGAACATTTTGGGAGTATGAGAGACTACAAATGGCCTCAGGACGATCATAATGTAACATGTAACAAACGCGTAAAAGCCTTTGACTTTTTCTCAATCCATTGAGAAGTTCCAGCACTTTGAAATCAGTTGAGGTGGAAAAACATGAACATAAAATAGTGATTTTTGGCAATTTAAAACGTCCCCTCGCTGCATGGTAATAGGAAATTTAAGATGCCATTATAAAGGCTATGATCTAGTTAACATTCGTGCCAAGTTTGATCAGTCTTAAAGCTTTTTAATAGTTTCATAGCAATTTGAACTTGTGTAACAGGCCTTTTGAAATGAAAAACAGCCTCTTTTGGCGGTAATACGTTAACTTGTCAGCAGTGTATGTTAAAGTGAGTAGTTTTGCGCATAATGCACACACAGTACGTTTAATCTGCTGACCATACAGTGTAAAGAAGAAAATATGGCATAAACACCAATTTAAAGACGTAATATATACTAATATAACAAAATAAATATAAAGGCATATTTCACGGCAATTATAATTATCCTCTATACATCAGCAGTTGTTCAGTGTTGAGCTAAAATCACTTTGGCTATATACAAAAGAAGTGGACCTCTAGTATATCGTAGTTGGCCATCAATTTTTTACATTAATCATATTTATTTACTATCTTAAAGAAATATAAAAGTGTCATCTTAGATGATTGATATAATAGTAGAAGGATCGTCAATTTGGTAGGTAATTGGTAGCTGGATATTCGAGTAACCAACTATCTACTAGCTGGTAGTTTGTAATATTCGTAATGCTCAACTACCTACTAGCAGGTTGTTGGTAATTCGAACTTTGCATGGTTTCCCCTAAAAACAGTAAGTACTTTTCTTGAATTAATATAATGAATATACGACATCAAGATAGATGTGTTCTTGAACATTGAAACACATTGGCTATGTCCACCAGCGGAATCAGTTGGCTATAGTAGAATATGCTGACCAGTTAAACTTATAGTAGAATTTGCATTTAAGTTTCAATTACAGTGAAAATTACTGACCACTTATATTTCATATATAGAGTAAATTATGTTAAAAAAGAAGAAGAAGCCCCCCCCCCCCCCCAAAAAAAAAAATATATATATATTAATCAAAGTAAATTATTTTCCCATATTCTATACCGTCAGCATATTTGTCAGCAGTTTAGAACAGCACAAATAAATACAGGATGTGCGCATGTGTACCGCAAGACGAAAGTCGATAATGCGATAACGCGATGGCGACAATACAATAGTGCGATGACGACCTTGCGAAAATGCGATGACGACAATGCGAGAATTGACAGTGCGATAACGGAATGACAACAGTGTGATAACGCGATGGAGACAGGGGGATACTGCGATGGCAACAACGCGATATTATTATCGAACTAGCGTATTGTTCCTTCGTATCATAGCACTGCCGTCATCGCGTTATCGCATTGTCGCCATCACACTATCTCATTGTCGTACTATCGTACCGTCGTTATCACACTATCGTATTATCGGCATCACACTATCTGACTGTCGTATTGTCGCCCTCTAGATTATAAAGTATAACCACGATGGCCTTGACGGTATTCCGTATGTAAGTCATATGGCGACATTCCTGGATTACTAGTAGAGGAAGAAGGTTCCCTCAGACAAGAACAGGCACCTGAGAAAAGCCACCGACGTTCCGAAAGCCAGTTGTATATCTTTCTAACAATGCCATGTAAACATCCAAAGTCAAAGACTAGATTTCAAGTTTTCAACCCATTTCATTAATACTAAAAACAAATAGAATACGACTTAGTTTTATTATAGAATTATAATCAGTGTATTAAATGAAATACTTAAAATTTGCGGTCTGTATATTCTGAAACAACAAGTAGATCACTAAGAGAGCAGAAATGTCGCTTGCAAATGGATCCCTTCGAATAAAGTGATTGCTAATGACAAGTTCACTGTATTACAGTGTATTTATTTTCAAGTCAAACATTGTAAAATTAAAATTTTATATTTTTAAAATAAGATGTTTTCTTTTAATTATTACTGTTTTTGAGGTAGACTGTAACTTAGTACATGAGGGGTAAGGTAATCTATCTATTTATCTTCGAAAAGCATCTTCGCATATGCCATTTCATTTCATAAAGGTTTTCGTTATTACTCTTTAAGGTTCAATTACAGTTGACATCAATGGGGCCAATTATTACAAGTAAGGAAAGGTTTCGCATTCTCTGGTACAACCCACCTGGATATTTAACAGTTAGTCATAAGGATGCGTTGCATTGTGGGTTTGAACAATGCAAATACAACAACTGTGATATGACTCTAAATACATCAGATGCAGATATCAGTCAGGCTGTCATTTTTGATGGTCGTAAAATGCCAAGGAATGTTAGCTTCACACGTCCAAATGGTCAGATATGGATTTTTGCAGCTCACGAATCTCCTATTTCATACGGCGACACAGGGACATGGTGGTATAGAAATAAAGACTACTCCTTTCAACTGGGACGATGACTTATGACAAAGATAATTCTGACATATATTTTTGCCATACGGAGAAATACTGAAACACAAATCAGAAGTAATACGGGACTACAAATCCAATTTCACAAAAGAAAAACAAACACTCTTAATAATAGTTTCTCATTGTAAATGTCAGGTCTAAACGTCAGGAATATGTTAATAAGTTAAAGGAAATATGTTGACGTTGAAGTATTAGGAAACTGTGGGAAAAAGTGGACATGTGGTACTCACTACAAACACGACGAAGACTGCTTCAAACTTTTAAATACCACTTTTTAAGTTTTACTTAGCCTTCGAAAATGCGTTTTGTCACCATATAAACAGAGAAGTTTTACGATAATTTCAATTTTATGATCTAATTATGTTGGTACGTGGTGGAAGCCCTGGCGAAACTAAAAAAATATTTCCCGAGGGAACATTTTTATCAACCGATAAATTCGAATCCGTGTTGAAGATCTTCACACTTTCTTAAAACATATCAGTGTTGAAACGTAATATACCGCCCTTTTAAAGCGGAAAAGTCAATATTACTCAGCTGGCTATTTAAATGTATATCAAAGAGCTATGTGTAACCTATGTGGAAAGGATGAATCATCAGAGCAAATATGCAAAACAATCACAGATTATAAAGGAATGGGCATTTGGCCTTAAACCTTGCATTGATCCAAATGACGTCACAGATGTGCGATGAATGAACGTTAAAAACAGCAGTTTAAATTTTTTAATACTTAAGTGTGTGTTTACTGATTATTTTATATGTCGACAATAAGGAAGCACCCATACCGTATAAGTACTTATTTCTGCGGGCTTAATATTCTGCGATTTTTGTTAAAATAAGGGGTTTTTAATTTCTGCGTATCTTATTTCTGCGGTTGTTATCATTCTCGCTTGATGTTTTTTATTTCGTGCCGTTTAATTTAGATATTTGTACAAAATTAACCGATACAAACAGACAATATTTTCAAGATGTGTTGATGTAACATGTACATTACTTCCGGTAAACATTTGCAGACGACTTCTAATGTGTTTTACCGTAATAATCATTATCGGTATATAAACATTAAAAAACAAAGATTAACAACGTGCAATGACAACAATTAATTGCAATACTGCATGTGTATAAATATGAAGTGTGAAAAATAAACAATCATGGTAAAATCGCACGTAGACACAAGATATTGAACAAATACAAAAGGGTATGTTTATTGGAGTCTATGACATCTAGACCCCTTGACACCTCGACCCCTTGACACCTCGACCCCTTAGACATCTCGACCCCTGACACTTAGACCCCTAAGACACTTAGACCCCTTAAATATACCGGACATTTCGACCCCTTAATTAATGTATTGTTATATAAGGAAAGACCGTGCTTTTTTAAAAATAAAAAAACAAACAAAGTAATGACTAGTTTAGAACATTTTCAGCCGTTTAATAATCATTTATGTATATTTTTTACAAAAACAGTAATACAAATAAATATGCATGTACACACATTACATTGAAATAACAATACATAGAATACGCAGACACTATCACTCTCTTTATATACAAGTATGTAATAAGTACAATATTTACAATATATATACTTTTTGAAACTGTATTTTTGTATGTCTTATTGATAATCTTTTTCCAATTATACATTTCCTTGTCTGAATGATTAACGGAATTGTCTTGATCAGGTGTTGCTTGATCTTAAGGAGCGTCACTGCAAATACTACAAGTGAACTGTACGGCGCTTAAACGTTTACGTGCCTTGTAATAATCGATTCTACTGATACCTGCAAA